CGGAGGCGATTGTGTTGCCCGCCTCGATTATCAATTCTGCCTACCTCTTATAAATTTTCTTTAGTAGTGTCTCTTGACGTAGTGCATCATGCATGTTTAGTGAAAACATGGTATGAGGGTGCTCGCCCATGTAGGTTGATCCCACGAGGAGACGCTGAAAATCGATGACTCAGAGGAGTTGCTTTGCTTGCGCCAAACACCTTTTAGGCCTTGTTTGGATGTCGTCAGATTCACCTCAATCCACGTGTGTTAGGATGGATTCGGGTGGAATTTAGTTTAAGTTCCACTTCAATCCACCATAACACATGTGGATTGATGCGAATCCGACTACATCCAAACAAGACCTTACTAGGTTCAAAATTAAACATGTCCAAACTCTATGCTCCCTCCATCCCACAAGTACACTTCTAACATTTGAAATTTATGTTCAAATAAGTGTACATTTAGGTATGATCCACCTAGTTCTAGTATTTTTTTCTTACTTTCTCATAGTTTCGAAATACAATCATTACACGTTGAAATAACTATATAGCATTGATTTTCTTCAAAGATCTAAAAAAGAATGAATGCAATTCTAGATGCATTATTTGTTAAAATATATAAATTTGACCAATGTATTGATAAAAATATTAATATTTATGAAATCAAACAAAAAATACTACAAAAATAAATCTCATAATAAATAATAATGATACTTTTCTGTATACTCTCTCCTTCCGTTAAAAAATGTAAATCTCATTTTCTGAGAAGCAAAAAATTTAAATTTAGGCTAATTTTATAGAAAAAAGATCAAAATTTATATTTTTAAATTTATTTATCACATTTTTTAAAATTTTATAGAAGAATGAGACAAGCCAATGCAACGTGACTTGATTGAACTAGATTGGCTGACTCAAGTGGCCTTTTTCCCAGAAGGCTTCTCACGGCCACGTGATCACGCCTTCTCGATTGGACTGAACTGGACGTTGTTCACACGGAGGTGGTGGCACCACGGCAGCACGCTCACACCTTCACATGGTAGAAACCTAAGGGGAGTCTTTGCACTATTTCAGCAGTATTTTTGGCCTGATTTATTTTGCTAAAATTTTGCTTAAGTTGATATTTATACTAAAATACTGTGAGAGAAAAACTTTATTAGTTTGCTGAAAAATACTGCTGAAGTAGCGCAGTAAGTATTGACACTTTCATTACTTTACAGCGTGCTTTTACGTAGCACGAGTAAAAACCATCTACAAAAGCTAGAAAGATTGATACCCCTGTCTAAAAAAATACAATTCTTGTTTTTTCACCAAATAATATAAATTTATATATCTTATAAAGCTAATTCTCACTATATGTTCTATTTCAACATGCAAAACAACCACATCATTTTTCACTAATAGCCATATCATGTCATTAACTTCTAACCTCTTAATGCAAGTTACTCACGTCATCTCAAGTTCTATCTCAACATGCAAGACATCCACGTCATCTTCCACTAATAGCCATGTCATGCCACTAACTTCCAACCTCTTAATGCAGGCTATCCAGGTCATCTCAAGTTCTATCTCAATAAGTAAGACATCCACGTCATCTTCCGCAAGACATCCACGCCATCTTCCACTAATAGCCATGTCATGCCACTAACTTCCAACCTCTTAATGCAAGCGATCCAGGTCATCTCAAGTTCTATCTCAACATACAAGACATTCACATCATCTTCTAGTAATAGCCATGTCATGCCACTAACTTCCAACATCTTAATGCAAGTGATCTAGGTCATCTCAAGTTCTATCTCAACATGCAAGACATCCACATTATTTTTCAGTAATAGCCATGTTATGTCACTAACTTCCAACCTCTCAATGCAAACTATCCAGGTCATCTCAAGTTCTATTTCAACATGCAAGACATCCACATCATCTTCCAGTAATAGCCATGTCATGCCACTAACTTTCAACCTCTCAATGCAAACTATCCAGGTCATCTCAAGTTCTGCATCAACACGCAAGACATCCATATCATGTTCCATTAGCTATCTACATCATCTTTCACTAATAGACATATCATGCCACTAACTTTTAACCTCTTAATGCGAGCTATCCATGTCATCTCTACTTAATTTCATTTTTAACCTTTTGCAATCTCCGCGGCAAATATGCAGAGTATCTTCTAGTTTTGGTTAAAGTTATAAAAAAGTACTACTCCCTTCTTTCCAATCTATAGGTCATTTTGTTTTTCTAGATACATAACTTTTATATATTTGTATCTAGGTACATAGCAAAAGCCATATATCTATAAAAACCAAAACGACCTATAATTTAGAAGAGCGGGTGGTAAAAATTTATAGCAAAAAATAAGTATCATTAGATTAATCATGGAATGTATTCTCATAATAATATTATTTGGAGACATAAATAATTATACTACTCACTATAAATTTGATTAAACTTGAGTTTGTTCCGGCATGAATCACATAATTATTTTTTAAATAGAAGGGAGTACAATTTAAAACAGAGAATATGTTTTTTCTTTAGAAAAAAATTGCCACTTTGGTTACTTTACAACGTGCTTTTGCACTTGATGACTTTGTCACCATCTAAAAATTCATCGCTTTGTCCATATCTGCAATTATTCCTTATTTCTATATACCAAATACGCCATCTGCTTCTTCCACGTCACCCCTTTCATTTGCACCATCCGATCGAACGCTCGCCTGCCTCCATCGGGGGAAAATATCTAACGGCCACTCAAACCTTCTAGCCGGCGCACCAGGAAAGGGAAAAACAACCCCCTCTATCGTTATCCACCCGAAGCTTCGGTTGACTCTCCTCCCCTCGCGCCACCGATAGGCTTCCGTCCGGCTCACCCTCTGCCTCCTCTCCCATCTCTCTCTCTCTCTCTCTCTCTCTCCAGTGCCCTCTCGCCGTCTGCTCCCTTGCATCGTCCTCAGCCTCTCCCTCTCCGCCTCCATCTCGTTGCATGCTGATTGGTCCACGAATCGAATCCTGATTCCTAGTTTAAGATTATACAACTATTTCTAGTTTTTTTTTGGGCCAAGTGCAAAGATTGAAACGATGCAATTTATGAGTAACGAGAACCAGTACGACACACCTGGCAAGTTTAAGATTCCAAAGCAATGCAATTTGTGAGTAAAGGACCGCCATAACACATCCAAACAAATCTGAGTACAAGGACCGCCATAACACACCCAAACAAATATGAGAACCAGCCATGTACTTTACTCATATAAAAAAATGTCTTGCTTTCATCTCTAATCTCGACCATACCATCTTGTCAATTGTCATAGTATCGATCCTTTTTTAAGAAATTAATTCAAAGTAACAAGTTCGCTTGAGACAATATCAAAGTGGTCTATAACTGTGTTTTTTTTTTGAACCGTCAGTGATTTGAGCAACAATTTACTTAAGGCACAAAAGAAATTCAACAATAATAAAATTGTTGATATAAATTTTGAATGGAAAATATGCTAGGAGTATCTCAAAAGCGGAGACTACAATCATGCAAATTGCAACAACCTGAAAACTTTGTAAGAAATCAGAAAAACACTTGGCAGAAAAATGTTTAAAGCACATAACCTCAAACAATACTTGGCATTTCGAGTGGGTGCTGAAAGTGGTGAACGCTTGTGCAGTTGACGTTTCCATTTCCGAAACATGCATACTGCTAAGTGCAAAGGGCTAACCGCATCAGATAACCCAATCGAAACCTCATCATACAGGATAGTAAAAGAGGGAATCCAACTTAAACTTTGCCGTGTCCTACACTAAGGTTGAGGATACCAGCTCCCGAACTTGATCAACTGTGAAGGATGCACAAAAACATAATGCTAGAGAATTTATGCGGCCCAGAAATGATTTATAAAACTGACACGTATGCCAGTATTTTGTCCAGAGGTATCATTCACCGATGAGATGACCCAATCCTAAGCTCAAAGCACAGGCTGTTATTCAGAATCAACCTATCACTCAAATTCTAGATACAAAAAGGACCAAAAATATAGGGGGTGGAAATAGCAAAAGGACGATGCGGCGTTGACGCCAGCCCAGCATCAAATAGTGCGGGCAATGAACTTCTGCAGAAAGCAAACATACCACACGATTAGTGAGGATCATAAACATAAACACTATCTAGCAGTAACAAGTTATGGCTTCCACAAACACTATCTGGGAGCCATGCTTGGCCTAGGCAATTTTTTCAAGTATCAAACCAAACAGACCCTTGTTGTTTGGGAAGGTAGCATCATCACAAAAATAGGTATGACCCACATAATAAGCAAATAAGAATACAGCATAATTGAACTTATTGTTCGCAAAGACCCAAACCAAACAAAACTCTATGTTTTCTATAGACTTGGTCGAAGGCTATAATTGACTTTTCAAGCACATTCTGCAACTCAGTTTTTTGTGTGTAACACCATAGTTGACTGCAACACCAGCCATGCCCTATTTGCAGAATGAAACATTTATGCAACAGTCATGCTACATTTGGACTCGAATTCCACTTTAGCTGCTCATCTGAAATTACCAAATTTCACAAATTCATGAAATTCTGTTCAAAATGTTTGGTCAAATGACCTAATCAAATTTGTAATGTAAAAAATATTTGAAGGACAAATAACAAACTTCTTTGACACAAAGATATGATCCTAGTCCTAGCCTACTGAATGTGTAGATAATGTTGCTGCTTTGAGGAAGGACCTCGAGTATGTGCCCAGGGCTTGGATTAGCTTCCCACCATGAAAGCAACTTTTATTTGTATCCATGCAGCCAAATTAACTTAAATAGTCCTAAAAGAATTCAGATTCAGATAAATTCAAACAAAACCAGAAAACCAGATTGTTGTTAACCAAAAACATGTCTAACCGTAATTAAAATCCCTCCTAGCAGGTTATGCATGGCATCCACAAGGGCAGGGCTTCAAGCATATGCAATGCCTCCAAATTATTACAAGCAGAGTATAGTATTATCACCTGTACAAGATGCAGAAAGTGAGGATTTTCAACCCTGAAGGACCTTCAATGGATCTAACTGTCCACTACAGTAACTCGAAGGAACCGCTGAGAGCACAAGCCTTCCTTTCCACTCTTCACCAGGTTTCAGAGTAATAGGCCTCTCAACAGCTGCAGGCTCCACACACAGCATGCTCTTGTATTCTGCATCCCCAAAATCTTGCATTGCTTTTGCCTTCTTGTCCCAAGGGTTCCAAACAACTATAGAAGCCAGCAAAATATTTAAGAGAATGATGTACATTGCAGCAACCGTGGAGAATTGGTTCACCATAAAAAGAAGGTTTGACATCAAATCTTGCTTACCAGCATCAGGGAGCCCTTCTTTTGTCACGACAAATGTTCTTTTCTTCTCATGATCAATGATAGCAATTTTGGAGGGTGCGGCAAGATAAACTTTATCAACCTTGACATTGAAAAATCAAAACAGTTAGATATTGATTTGAAATATTAATGTTTAACATGAGCTAATTAATTACTTCTGATTCAAAAACAATAGCATCGCCTTGCTCTGTGAAACGCTCCTTTGCCTTCAAGTTGTCAAGGTAGTCCATTGTTTCCAGTCCTTCGACACGCACCTCACTGATATATAAAATAGTAACATCAAGCAATAATAATAATATTAAATTAAAACAGCCACTGGAAGCAGCTTCGAAAAGAAACTTCCATAACAAGATAGAAAAAGTCAGACTAATCAGAAATCTGACAGGTGCACAAAGCCATAAATCAAACCCAAATTAACATCGTTTTTTAACTTCCACTTAAAAAAAATGCCAAAGCATATTGAATGAAACAGTTCATAAGGAAACCAACTATTCAAAAGAAATTAAGGAGGAGAAACATCAAGCAGACCTTATGTCAGAGACAGAGAAGTATGTGTGATATGCAAACGTATAAGAGAAAGGTCTTCCATCTGTGTTGGTATTCCTGATTCGTGATGTGAGACTCAAATCTCCAGAAGGTCCAAGAGCAACTCTCAAGCGAAATTCAAAACTGTTTACAAGACAACAAGCAGACATCACAATCAGATGTGTGCTATATCAGATTAAGACAAAACCTAGTGATCACCCTGTGATGTAAACAAACCTGTGAGGCCAGATCTTTAAATCCTCTTCAGAAGGCTTCAGAATCAGATCAACAAAAGCTTTAATAGCAGGGTTTACTGGTAAAGGAGGTGGGTTGTTGTCAATAGTCCAAAACCGGTTCCTAGCGAATCCATGTTGTTCAAGATTTCCATGTGTTCCAAACTGCATTGTGCATTTCAGTGAGGACCAGAAGACGGATGGACATGGATAAAGCATTACAGATAATGGTTACCATACTTGGGGAAAGCAGACTGGTATACCACCACGAATAGCTTTTGGAGGTTTGAAAATAGCCTGCAAAAGAATTCTTTCAAAATTCATAGGGAATCAAGGATGATATGTAGGCATCAATATATGTTGAACACTGCAGTAATACAGCAAAACAAACATAAAAGCTAAAAAATAATCAAACTGGCCTCAAACTTGAGATATAACTCGACTATTCCAGGGTTTAAGTTGAAGTAACACAATGTAACAAGGACAGCAATACAGAAAATCAAGGAGACAACCAGTGAACCAGATGACATGTGTTAGAAAAAGATTAACTTCCAAAACAGATAAATATCTGTATGCGAGATATGCACCAACACAACTTTTGATCCATGTAACTGATAATGTCATTTGCAACCATAAAAGGGAGTATGTACCTTGCTGCTGAGAAAAAGCAGCTCTTCCCCATTGTCATTCTTCCATGATGTTACTTGACCTCCATAAAGATAGATCTAAAAACAGTACAGAATTTATTATCTAGTAATACTACAATCGAATTGAAAACAAAGCATAATTAAGAATAAAAACATAGGACATGGTAGTCTAACACAAGTTGCATGTTGTACCCAATGGCTATAGTACTCACTGTTCCATTTTACCTTTCCAAAATAGGCCCAAGAGAACGTAAACACTATCAACAATTCACAGAACTGTCATATTCAACTGATCTGTAATGCAGATTCTACAGGGTTCAAAAGATTTGACTATGCACAACTTATATCATATATATAAAAAAACCAAACCAACCAAGGAGAAACTAGGTGGCATATATTTTTCAGATAGATCATTTTGCTGATATAAACAACAATAACATATACAGATACTTTCGCCCATAATGTAAGTACAACATGGAAGAACAAATTGTAATTGCCCCTACAGGCCTATAAAATCCGGTGTTGCCACTAAAACGCGTCCTTCAGTTCTACCTTCCTAACACTTCATACCATATTGCTGTGAAACGCTAACCACCCATCCTCCCAGCGCTATACTGCTTCCTAAAGCAAATTCGGAAGGTTAAAACCTGCGTGAAAACTTAAATCCCTCGATTCCAAGTCCGCAACACGCGGATCATGGAATGCGCTAATAACGATCCGACCAGGACAGGGCACGGACAGGCGAAATCGCACACCGGAACACCAAAAACCTCATCAATTCCGCCCAAACCCCCCGCAGATCAGCAGAATTCCCACCGGATCTGCGCCAACTGCACCAAAATGGGAACGAATCGCGGCGCCGCGCAGACGCGCCCCAGCACACTGCAGTCGTATGCACACAACCAGACAAACGACGAGAGGTATCGGAGGAGGCGGGTGGGCGAGGCCGAAATCGTGTACGTACCTCGGCACAGCAGTTGCGAGCGCCGCGAAGCACGATCTTCTCGAGGCCGGAGGGGCCCTTGACGAGCTCCGCGAACGGCGACGACAGCTGCATCGGCGGCGACGGTGAGGCGGCGGCACTGGCTGCGCCGGCGGGGGCAGGGGAGGCCATCTCTCGACTCGCCCAGGCGACGGCGGAGCTGGGACCCTAACCCTAGGCTTCCACCTCCGGGTCTCGCCTCTCCTGCTTTTCGGGGGTTTATTTGGCGGAGAAAGGGAGCTGAAGCGGAGGAAATAAATGGGGGAGGAAATGGGAACGGGACGAGGATATTTATAAGCGACGCGACGGAGAAGAAGGTGCGGATGTTGTGTTCTGGAGTTCGGCAGAGATCCGGGGGTATCTGTAACTGTAATAATCTGTATATTAACAACAGTATTAGTTTCTTTTATTTTTCCTTTTTGATTGACAATACAGTTGTTTGTTACATGTAAATAAAAAATCCTTGGTGAAGATACAGAGTATATCTATTGACAGCAAAATATGGCTGGTCTCAGAAATAAGGTTAGTCGGTTTGTCAAACCGGCTAAGCTGCTTTTGGTACTTTATCAAAATGCATAATAGACTTAATCATTGTGTTCCTCTCGTCGTGACATATAAAACATATATAGGCCATGTTCGCTTGTCTTATAATCCGTACTTTTCAGCTTATTTTTTCAGTCAAAATAGTATTTTTCTCTCACAACAAATCAGCCGGAACAGTGTTTCGGCTTGTTTTTTCAGCAAAACGAACGAGGCCATAGATCTTTCCATTTGGAGTTCAGATGAAAAAAAATGCAACTTTGGAAAAATTATCTAGCAGCCGGTTTGCCAAAACTGCTTAGCCGATTTTGTAAAGTTTTCCAAATTGAAGAATAGACTTTACTATTGTTTTTCTCTCGTCAAGATGATCCAAAAACATGTAGAGATCATCCAATTTTGAGTTCGGATAAGAAATATGCCTTTGAAAACCGATTTATACTGTTTGGATACCCCTCTGATTGTACTAATTAGGTTATATAATCTTTTTTTATGCAAACAAGATTGTTTATATGATGGATTATTATAATCGAAATTCTCGATTACTATAATCCCATAAACCGAGCAAGACCAGGGTATATGGGATTATGGATGATAAAAGTTCAACTTGCCTCCAACTGATTGTCCAACTTACCAAATTAAGAAGAATAAGATAGGAATTTCTCACTTTAACCAACCATAATCAATAACCATAATCCATGGATCCAAACACTATGATTATTATAATCCATAATCTTGATTATAATAATCATATACATAATCCAAATTATAATAATCAAGCCACGATCCAAATAGGCCCTAAAGCGACTACCTTTGTAAATCGATGATTAATAGAGGTGGCCGCCTAACCATTTACGAAGATGGTCCTGAGATGTGCCCGCCTCTATTAATCAGAGAGGATATAAAAAGTCGGTGTTTTTAATATAACATTTTTTTTAAAATGATCTTGCTGATTTAGTTTTTGTTGGCTTGTGCTCTCATATTAAAGAAAAACTTGACCACTTTGAGTTTCTCTCTGTTAATTGCAAAAAGCTTCAAACATTCAAAGTCAAAGTAGTATTGGAGAATCTCATAAGACACATCGTCCCAACATGCATGCTATTGACTACCATTCGATGAAACTATTGATTATTTTATTGCATTTGTTTGGTCAACACAAGCTAAATCAGTTCTTTTCACAATAATTGCCAAGAGGAGATGAAATTTATATTTGATGTATCCAAGTGTGATTGAATTTTTAAGATGTTGAAAGCATGTACATACATACATTAAATTGTTGCATCATTTGCCGTCACTTAATGAGATGAAGTGTTATGCATATTGTAAATGTCACAATTCGGCTTCTCATGTTACTTATGATTATAATGTCTTTTGGCGATTACGACCCACAACAGGTGTCAAGTTCAATAAGCCATTAATGAAGGCCAGTTGAGTTTATCAGGGATGACATAATGCCCTCCCTGGATAATGCTCAGGAGTTGAAGAATCCTATTATCTTGGTTTGGCCCAATCAAGCATAATCTATTGTTGGAAAAAAAATAGTAATTGGAAATCCAAGAGAAGATGAGAAGATTGAGAAGACTTTATCCTGTGAAATCATCTCGATAGGTCCATGGATGGTCGGGAGATTATTAAAATCACTATAAGTCTTCTGATCTCGGTTGGGGGGGGGGGAGGGCAGTGAAAACTCCTACTAGAGAGCAAAAGGCAAATATTATTGTTGTTGTCTAGAGCATTAAACGATAAGGTCGATTCTCAAATCTGAGTTTTTGGGTAGCTCCTATGAAAATTGGCCTATCCGGGTTTCCTAGGATTTACTCACTTTGGTGAGTGGTCATGTTTTTACTGTGTCCACTTGTCCCTTCACTCTACCACTAATACCTCCTCTTTGTTTTCACCGCACTCCTCGCCATTGACGACTTGAAGGTGATTCAAGTGCTCCAAATCTCATCTCAAGGTACTTTGTGGTTTCCCATCAATGATCTCTTTGCTCAGTGCAAATCTATGGATTCCCTCTAATCAAAACCCTTCTAATTGACCATAGAACTCATGCTTAGAAGATTGTTCAATTTCCATGGCAACATTTTGACTAACATTGTTTAGGGTTTCACTTCCAAAACCGACCTAGCTGGGTTTGGCTATGAACCCCCCAATTCATCATTCTTAGCCATGGGCCCATAATTATATTTTACTGCGCCTGTTCTTTATGAACCGCCAGTGAAAAAATTATCGACAAAAACCATTTCTGTACTTAGTGAGATAAACGATTTCAGTAGATGATTAGAAAGAGCCCTATTGTAGTTCATCGTGCACTCTGAGAGTACTACTCGTTATAATCTACACTATAGTGGAACAATCAAAACAAAGCTTGGTACACCCCACGTTTGTGTCCCTGCTGAGATAGTCCAATCATTGTGCACCAAAGATTTTGTACCTAGGATTTCAATTTTATTAAGATCAATGGCTCCTAATCCTTCCTTAAAGGCTTCAACCCAATCTAAGGGCAAGGGTTCTTTGTATCAAATCCCACGCTAGGATTCAACGCTGCTGCCCCCCCACCCCGCACCTGCACAATGCCTCGCCTAAGGTTTGATTCCATGCCCCCCTCTCTAGCGCCCCTTTTATTTTCTTTCAAAAAGAAAACAAAAATCATCTCTGGTCCTGTGCCACTTGCCTCGCGAAAATGAAGACGACGCTTCGCCTACCTCCGGCGAAGCATGCCACATCGGTGGCTCCACGCTTTTGAAGATGGAATATCGAGAAAGATGAAATTGACCAAGTGGACAGAATAGAGAAAGATTAAATTGACCAAGTGGTGAAACTGCTGCCCTCACACAAGGACCTAGGGCTTGTTGGTTTTAACACCGATTTCATCAAAAGGTGCTGGCCAATCATTTTCTAAGATTATGCAATGTTTTCTATGATGGCCAGGTTTGCTTGTAGAGCATCAATGGCTCCTTGATCACTTTAATTCTAAAGAAGGATGATGCTGAGAAAGTCTCTGATTTTAGGCCGCCTGCTAAACACTTCTATCAAGATTATTACAAAAATCTTGGCCAACAAACTGCAAATAGCTCTTCTCTCTTTTATTCATAAGAATCAGTATGGGTTTATTAAGCTTAGATCTATTTAGGATTGCCTTGCTTGATCTTTGAAATATCCAAATTTGTGTCATCAGTCTAAAAGGGAGTTGATCATTCTAAAACATGATTTTGAAAAAGCACTTCATAAATTTGAGCATCATCTTATGTTACAGATTATGGAGAAAAAAAGGATTTCCAACAAAATGGCTCACTTGGATAAAGCTTATTTTCTATTATGGCACCTCAACCGTTCTTCTTAATAGGGTGCCTAGTAAAGTTTTTCATTGTCAAATGAGTATCAGACAAGGAGATCCTCTGTCACCACTCTTTTTTGTGCTAGCTGCTGATTTCTTACAAACTTTGTTCAATGTATCTCATGTTAATAGGAACCTTACCTTCCTTTGCCCCTTCAAAATGATTAAAACTTTTTCTAAAGGTGATGTTGATCGGTTAGCCTTTTTGAGAACTTTGCTCTAGTAGTTTGGGGAATCTACAAGACTCAAAGTTAACTTTGACAAATCTTTCATGGTTCCTATCAATGTCCTAGAGGATAAGTTTTAGCTTCTTGCCACAACTTTTGGATGCTCCAAGGGCTCTTTGACATCCACATATTTGGGCTGCCCTTGATTATAACAAAACCAACGGGTTTTCAAATGCAAGAGAAGGCTGATCAATGTTTCTTCTTTCCTAAATCAAGCGGGCCGTTTGGAGCTTACAAATGCAATCTTCACAGCTTTTAATAACTTTTGCTATGATTGCCTTTATTCTACCAAAAATGATCACCAAACAGATTGATAAGTTTAGGAAACATTGTTTTATGGCGAGGATTTGATGCCAATAACCGAAAGCCTCCAAAAGCAACATGGATGATGGTGTGCAGTCTGAAGCAGGAAGGTGGTCTAGGTGTTCTAAAACTCCATAGTCCGTACCCATAATGAATGTTTGTTTCTCAAGCATCATAAAATTTATATCCGTTTGGATATTCCATGGGTCCGATTAGTTTGGGATAAATATTATGTGGATGGACATCTTCCTCGCCTCACTAATAGCTTCAGGGGCTCTTTGCTAGTGGCGAGACATCTTGAAGCTTTTGGACTCTTGCAAAGGCATGGCTATGGTACATGTTCAAGATGGCAAATCTTGTTTCTTTTGGCTTGATCTTTGGAGTGGTAGAGTTTTGCATCAAGTCTACCCAGAGTTATTCTCCTTTACAAAGAATGCTCACATCTTAGTTGAGGGGTTGCAATATACACCGATTCTTCATTCACTTTTTCACTTACCACTTTCATATGAAGCTTATGCCCAATTTAAGGAGATCAGGGGCCTTGTCCAAAACATTCATCTCCAACACCAAACAGATTGACGGGCCTACTTGTGGGGGTCTTCAGTTTTCTCCTCAGGCAAAGCTTATATTTTCCCCTCAGGCAAAGCTTATAGACTTTTAATTGGCCATAGACCAGTTCATCAAGCCTTTTCAGTGGTTGTGGAAATCTTCCTGTTAGAATAAACAAATTTTTTTCTTCTGGCTTGTGTTGAAGGATTGACTGAGTACTAGAAACCTGCTTCGACGCAAAAACATGTCCCTACAGGACTATAGTCATGTGCATTGCTTGCAGGACATTGAAGAGACTCTACTACATCTGATGGTGGGTTGTGCTTTTGTTTTGGATTGCTGGAACACTTTGAACCTAACTATACCAGTCACCACTGATCTTTTACAAAGTCTTTGTCAGCTTCAAATACCAGCTCATAATACCGTTCTTCATGGAAGTTGTGATCACCATGTGCTGATTTTATTTAGTAAGGAATGATGTTATTTTCAGAAACATTTCTGCTTCGGTGCAACAGTGCAAGTCAATCTTCAAATCAGAGTTTGCTCTAGTCATTCTACACGAAAAAAGGAAAATACCACCCCCTAATCAACTTATGGCTAGAAGATTATGTGTAACTTTCTTATTTTTTCTTCGTAACTTTTCTTTATTTCCTGAGATCTGTAATAAGATATTTTATCTTCAATTCGCAATAAAGCACAGTGGGGATGTTTTTGATAAAAAACAAAGGAAGGTGCCGTATCACAAAATTTGGGTTGTAAGTACATCTCTAGCAGGCTACCTAAACCCACAAAATTTGGGCAGTAGAGGCCAAAAACCACACTTCAACAGGCTACCTAAACGACTACCCAAATTTATTGGCCTAACAAATTTCCCCTCCTACCACCTATTCCAATTGGTGCAACAAATCTGGCTACCTATTTTTCTTTCCCCCACGCGCCTCTCTATCTCCTTCACGCTTTCATACGCTTTACGACCTGCCACTTTTCGTTAAATCATTGGCGGAGCACCAGCGATCGAGCATGGAGCTCCTCACAGGCGAGCACCCGATCTGGCGACTTCCCCAGCGTGGGATCGGCGGGCAGCCAGTCGGCGGCCATGTTTCCTACTGCAGGCTGTGGCTCCCAGCGTCGGATCTGGCTGGCCCCGGCGTGGCCATGGCTCCCCGATGCCCCACCCCGACCGTCTCCTCTCCGCGGGCACCTCCCCCACGGACGACACTCTCCGGCGGCGCCCTCATTTCCCGGCGCAGCCGTGGCTCCCCGACGCCCCTCCCCGGCCGGACATCTCCTCCCTGCGGGCACCTCCCCCGGCGGCGTCGTTGGCCGAGTTTGTCGATAGCAACAAGGAGATGAAGAGGATGACATGTGGGCTCCATATTTCATTGGCTATTAAATTGAATTTGAGAGCCATGATTTAGGTAGCAGTGCTGAAGTTGGAAGCAAAATTTAGAGGGTGTTAGGACGGCTCCGTTATATATTTTTTAGCCAAACGGTTTTAGCTCCACGTACTATGTTCTAGAAAAAAGGATAGAGTTATGAGAGAGAGGTACTCTATAAACTATAGTTTTTTATAGAGCTACTTCACGATAAAGCTCATGGAACAGAGTTTGTAAACAGACGTTATCTAAACAGACAAATAGGTACTCTAATGCTACGGCAACCAAAGAAATTTGTCCACCGGCATACCCGTTGGTGGAGTGCAGGTAATCTGGACCATCCATCCCCTATCGGCTGCCGCACGCCTGAACCACCCAAAGTCCCAAGAGACTTTTCCCTGTGTGCCATTATAAAAGATCGAAATCCTCTGTGTGCCTCTAAAAAAATTCAGCGGTCTTCAGCGCCACTACTCCAACTTTTTGATTCCGTCGATTTCGGGGCTCTAACGCCGTCAAGCTGCCAGTGTGAAAAGGCAAATGCCATAAGTTCAAATATGTTATTAATTTTTTTGAGCATCTTAACGACTTCAAATGAAAAAACTCAAAACTAGAAAGTTGTAGATCTCGTCGAGATCTATAATTTTCATATAAAATTTATTTTCATTTAATTTACTTAAAAAAATATGATTTGATATGATTAATATATCTTAGAAAAATCATCATATTTTTTTTGAATTAAATGAAAATAAATTTTATATAAAATTATAGATCTCGACGAGATCTACAACTTTCTAGTTTTGAAATTTGAAGTCATAAGATGCTCAAAAAAATTAAATATATTTAAATTTAAGGGCATTTTTTTTTTTTCACACTGCAGCTTGACGGCGTTAGAGCTTTGAATCGACAAGTGGCATGGAGGACCCGAAAAAGTTGGAGTAGTGGCAGACCAAGAGGCCATTGAATTTTTTCCAGCGCATGAGATTTTCAATCTTTATAATGGCATTACTTAAAAAATCTCAAGTCCCAAACCTGTTCCGCTGTTCGAAGCACCGGATAGGATTTTTTTTTTCCCACTTGGCCACTCCACAGTCGATCTCCGACATCACATTCACGCCTCACGCGGCGGCCGCGTCGCCAAACCTCGCCGCTCACCCGCTGTCACGGCCGATTCCTCTCGCCGAAGCCACGACCGGAGCTGAATTCGGCCCCTCCCGCACCCTCGCCCCGCCCCCCTCTGCCACTGGCGTCTAGCTCTAGCCGGCGGCTGCTGGTGGTGCGCCACGTCACTGGCTTGGGGGCTCGGCGCACCTTGTGATGAAGGGAAGGCAGCAGTCAGTGGCCCGGCGCATGCACTAGGCGCTCCTGCTCCTCATCGTCGACCTTGCCCTCTAATCCGCAGGTCAGCACGGTTTCCATCCCCTCTTGGTCTCTCCCCTCTGCCGTTCTGCGTATCTCCCAAGCGAATTCAAATTAGGCACTGAAGGTGAGTGGTAGCCCGCGTTGGGGCGCAGCTAGCCCGTCGAGGCCTTGTGTCCTCGAGAGGTGGCGCGGCCCTCCTTTTCCCCTCCTCCTCCGCTGGGCTGGTAGTAGAGAGTTGAGATCGCCGGATTAATCTTTGTTTTGCTCTGATGTGCAGGACTGCTTGGTTGAAACCCATGCCCGTTTGTGAATCAGAATGGCTGCCCTGAGGATTCAAACCCCAGCTGGTCCTCCGGAACTCAGAAGGCGCAATCTTGCTAGCAGCCCAGCCCATGTGGGGCTAGATTTGATTGGGTTTAGTTCCTGGATGTTGCCAATGGGGGACCACAGGTGTGCAGGCAGCGCAGTCGTCACAAGAAATGGTGTTGGATATGTTGGTGCTGGGAGGAAGAACTGTTCAGAGGCATTCTTGAAGAATGGTGTGGTCTGCTCTTTCGATGATAGTGGTGTCAGGGTGTCTACGCTGTGTTCATCTCTTCCATCTGAAGCTGTAAGTTTCGGCAGCAAAATGTCATTAGTTAATTCAATGGGCTTTGCACGGAAGAAGAAAGGGGGTAAGTTATGGCGGAGATTTCAGGGTGGTAAGAAATTGGTAAGGCATAGAGCTCCGAAGCATGGCCTGGGAAAGGACAGGCATGGTCACAAATCTGTAGTTAAGGATGATGATATTGATGCTGTTTTGTCCAGGATAAGCAAGGAGTCCAGCATTGAAGAGTGCAATTCTGCTCTGATCCGTCTTGAGAAGCTCAGCGATGAGAAGGCTCTTAACTTCTTTGATTGGATGAAGATTAATGGGAAGCTTAAGGGGAATGCTCATGCATATCACCTAGCTCTCCAAGCCATTGCCTGGAAGGAGGACTGGAAGATGGCTGAGCTGTTGCTTCGTGAAATGGTTGCTGATTCGGGTTGCGCATTGGATGCTCGAGCATTTAATGGACTGATATATGTTTGTGCTAAAAGGAGGCTTGATGCTTGGGCAACAAAGTGGTTTCACATGATGCTTGAGAGAGAAGTGCAGCCGAACTTGTCTACCATTGGTATGCTTATGGGCCTTTACCAGAAGACTGGGAAACTATCCGAGGCTGAATTCACTTTCGAAAAAATGAGGAATTGCAATATCAAGTGTGTTAATGCTTACTCAGCCATGATTACTTTGTATACACGTTTAGGCCTTTTTGCCAAGTCTGAGGATACTATTAATCTAATGAACAATGATGGGCTAGTTCCAAACATGGAAAATTGGTTGGTGCGGTTGAATGTATACTGCCAACAGGGTAAAATGGAGGAGGCCGAATTGGTCTTGCAGTCCATGGTTGACGAAGGATTCACCCTGAATGTTGTAGCGTACAATACTTTAATTACAGGATATGGAAAAAGTTCTGATATGCAGAAGGCAAACAAAGTGTTTGATAGCCTTGGTAGTGCAGGTTTAGCTCCTGATGAAACCACCTATAGATCAATGGTAGAAGGTTTTGGTAGAGCAAACATATATGAAGAGGCAATGTTGTACTACAGGAAGCTCAAGGGTGCTGGCTTCCGAGCAAATGCATCCAACTTTTACACTATGATCAACCTACTAGCAAGACATGATGACAATGAAACTGCAGCTGAAATTCTGGAGGACATGAGGGCAGCAGGCTGTCAGCGTTCATCAATTGTTACTTTTCTTGTTCGGGCTTATGGAGCAGTAGGAAGAATGCATAAGGTTCTTCCGATTCTACAAGCTTGTTTCAACAAGAAGATTTTGCTTGATGCTACCTCATGCTCTATTTTAGTAACATCATTTGTTCAAAATTCTGTACTGGAAGAAGCTTTGTACATTCTCTGTGTGAAAAGAAGTGGAAAGATTCTGCTTTTGAAGACAACTTATATCATATATTGATATGTTCTTGCAAAGAGGGTGGCAGTTACAATGATGCTGTTAGGATATACAATCAGATGCCTAAGTCTGAAACACATCCAAATCCCCGTATTTCTTGCACAATGATTGATGTTTTCAGCATGATGGAGAGGTTTGCCGATGCTGAAGCTATTTACCTTGAACTGAAGGCTTCAGCTTCTGTACTTGATATGATTGCTTACAGTGTCATTGTGAGGATGTACATTAAAGCACAGCGACTAGAGGATGCTTGTTCAATTTTGACAGAAATGGAGAAACAAAAAGAAATAATTCCTGATAAATACCTTTTTCTTGACATGCTTCGGACTTACCAAAAATGTGGTCTTCTCGAGAAGTTGGCTGATACATATTACTGGATACGTAAGAGTCAAGTTGAATGTGATGAAGGCATGTATAACTGCATTATTAATTGCTGTGGGCGGGCCATACCTGTTGATGAGCTGTCCAGAATTTTTGATGAAATGATTCAACAGGGACACTTAGCAAATACTGTTACCCTCAATGTATTGCTAGATATATATGGAAAAGCTGGGCTTTTTAACAGGGCTGAAAAGGTCTTTATCATGGCTCGCAAGCAGGGCCTGGCAGATATCATATCATACAATACCATTATTGCTGCATATGCAAAAGGCGGCAATTTTCTTAGTATGAATTATTTTGTCCAAATGATGCAGGATGCAGGGTTTCCTGTTTCTCCTGAGGCGTACAATTGCATGCTGGATGCTTATGGAAAGGCAGGGCGATTGGAAGAGTTTGCTTCTGTTTTGCAGAAAATGAAGAGAGCAAAATGCAAGTTTGATCACTACACTTACAATATAATGATCAATATTTATGGGAGAAGGGGTTGGATAGAAGATGTTTCGAATGTTCTTGCAGAGCTAAAGGACCGAGGTGTGGAGCCAGATTTGTACAGTTACAATACCTTGATAAAAGCATATGGGATAGCAAGAATGCCTGAGGATGCTGTCAAACTGATGCAAGAGATGAGGATTAAAGGCATCAGTCCTGATCGGGTGACATATGCTAACCTCATTAATGCCCTACAAAGGAATGAAAATTTCCTAGAAGCTGTTAAATGGTCTCTCTGGATGAAGCAAACAGGAGTGGTAGGGTGTGGAGCTCGAGCCTGATGTACCTGAGCTCCTGAAGCATTGGGTTTTGTTTCGAAATTATCCAACTCGGATTGTTGTCTTCATGTTGCAAACGAATACATACTTTCTACTGTACAGAAGAGTGTAGCTGATTGTTCTGCAAGTGCTACAGACATTCAGAAACTTGTACGTTCTCATACAGGATGAAATTCAGTCATGCAGATAGGAAGTTTTTATCATACCTATCATACTGTTGTAAATTGACAGTAACAGCGGTTTGATCATCTATGCATGATCGAATAAGGAATACAGTTTGGAATTCACTTGTTCTCAGGTTCATTGGGTGAGTACAATGTTGTCATTCCCTCATCTTCTCTGGAGAACTCTTGGCCTCGATTTCTTTTTCACTATTAACATCATGTTAATACAATCTTTCACATTCATTTGGATGATTGTTTGAGTCCTCTATACTTATTATGAACGGTTTGCTGCGTGCAGCCATGTACATTCATGAACACCCTATAAATACATTTGAGCTGCCTGCGACAGTGTAGCTTGTCTAGTCATAATATAGTTAAATGGTGGTCCTGTGTGTTGAATCCATGGAAGTGCTTGAGAGGATGATTATATTGTGATCTTTATGGCGCATATATTGACAGACATCTGATCTTCATTTTGCTGGTTAAATAAGAAAAAGTTATCTGGCATTAGTGGTCTGTGGTCATGAGTCATGCTTGTGCAGTTCTCTGGTAAAAAAAGAGCGAGGAAATGTTGTGGAGTGATTCATGTGACTTTTTCATGATTCATTTTTGTTTCTTCATAACAAATCTGTAAATTTTTTTGCTAGTACCAGTTTACCTTCTTATTGAAGATGCACCATTTATGTTATTATGAAACTGTTTCTGTACCTTTTATTGAATTTTTAGATTACCTATCTCTATGCGGATGAAGTGTAAGGGAAGCATATGTTCTTTGGATATTGACAAACAGAAAAAAGTTTACCTACATTACGTTGCAAACTGAACGTCCAATATTTAGAAGAAAAGGCTTGTCCGAAGGGACAAATATGCTAGAAGAAAAAGCGAAAGCCAAAGAACTCGATAGATGTAGACAGTACAAATTATTTTCCAAAAATATTGGTACTATACTTGGAGTTATTTGATTCTTTGTTCTCCATTTTTCTACTGTTTAATTTTTGTTTGCCACACCTTTTATTTATTAAAATTTTGTTTTGTGCTATATTAGACAAGGAGACCAAAAGGACCCAACAAACTTTGAGTACATGGAAGATGTAAAAGACGAAACCAACCTCAAAGATGCTATGCTCCATCATGTAAAGATTGTTTTAGTTATTTATCTTTAGCTAGCATTTACTTTGTTTTGATTGCTTGACTAGGTATTAGGTTTCAAACAAGGTTGCTTAGACATCATGCAATCAACTAATCATTTAATCATCAGAGAGTCAAGCGTGAAATAATAATTTCAATAAACACTTGGAATAACAAATAACATCCTAGCAATTCAATGCAGAACAAATAAATGTATTGTATTATAGAAAAAGTTTGGCACATGTTTCATATTTTTTATTTTTATTCAAAAAATGAATTCGTTATGAAAAATTTGAGATTAATTAAAAATTTTAAACTTTAAGAATATACAGATATAGACAAAACATCCTTTGAAACCAGCTAGGAGGTGACTTTTTTTCTGTTTCAATAGTTTAATAGTCCAAAATAATTTTCTGATGTTTAATGTCCAAAATGAAGCTCCAACGATTCTTAGATGGCCAAAAAAATTGATTACATCCTATTAGATATATGGAAAGGACCGATATGATATGAGTTGATTTTGTATAATATAGGATGTCTATTTTCATTGTTTGACATCCATGTTATTATTATATAATACATGAACAACCAATTAGATTCAGCACAACATAGACAATTCGTAGTATATTTATATTCTCATTTCGAAGCACATCAAATTTTATAAAGGTAGACTTAACACTAATGTAAGTTAAAAGCAGTCAATAATATATTTTGTCGAAGGTAAGGTAAGTTTGGTCAGTTCTGATCCCCCCACCTACCCACCCACCCTCAATATTCGTCAAAGGGAAGTAGGCGAATGATTCGAATTAAACATTGTTTTGATGCAATTATTGGAGAGTAAAAAGACAGACATTAGCTTATGGGCTATGGCAGATCCTGCTTTGTTTCTGCAGTGGTAAGACTTTTTGGCCTTCAACAATGCTAGTTATTTGTTATGCCTCGTGTTTCCTTTTTTGACAATATAAGTTTTCCTATTTTTTATTGGGGGCCAAAGTTAAAAGTGGGCTTGAGAATAATAGGTGCTCACGGAACGGATGGCACAGGAGCAAGCAGCACAGATCAGAATAGATGCAGTGCATGATTGCTCTATAGACTAACGGACATATGTAGCTAAATATAGGAGAGAATACGAAAGAGATTGGATAGGTGTTGATTTTGTTTTTCATAGTATATTACGTAGTCAGCTCTTTTTCACGAGACGAATAATAGTCTAAGAACCAAGAAAATCGACAAAGTTATCTATATCTATATACCTATATATAATATAAAAGGAGAAAATTTCCATCCCCTCTTGACCTGTCTGCTCCTTTCTCTATTCACCCCACTACCATACCTCTTAGAGCATCTCCACTAGATATCATATCAAATAAATAGCATTTTAGGTGATGGAGATGCTGCAGCAGATATTCTGTCTCGTCTTCTATACCTATAATTTTTAAGAGATTTCCTAAAAGAACCATACTTTCTATTAAATAAATGAAATAACCAAACCCCTCTCCCCTATCCCTAAATAGGAGACATGCTTTATGTAATCTGCTGCAGTAGTACTCGTCTATATCCTAAATTGATTTTAAAGTATTTTTAAAATAACTTATAGGAGATGCAATATAAGAGAGATTTGGTGGAGATGTTCTTATTCCGTTTTTTGGTGTATCGGGCCTGCTGCTTGGTTTGCTAGCAGAATCTACCGTGCCAAAAGTTTGGCAAGAAAAAGTTGTCAAAATGTGGGAAAAAATATCTGTCATAGATTTGTTGTACTAATTATGAGATGTTGGCAAATTTGGTACCAAACCAAATGGTTGCCAAAATTTTGGCTTGCCTAAGTTTTGCAAAAAAAAAAAAAAAATTAGCCATCAACCAATTAGGCTCATCATCCCTCACGACCACCCTTCTCACTTGGCGGATAGCAAACAGAGCTTCATGTTAGGAGTCCGAGGTCCAACAAAGATATAATGTATAATGTATCCTACTCTAACACTACATCAACTACTGTACTAATAATGTTGTGACATAGTGAAAGTTCCTAATGGCTAGAGGGGGGTGAATAGCCTATTAAAAATTTCTACAACAACACTTAACAAACCGGTTAGATAATTATGAGGCGAATCAAATGTTGCGCTAGCCTACTAAAAATACAAGCCATCTATCACAATTCTAGTTTATATAGTTTCTATCCACACAATAGCTATGTCACTACACTAAGTTAATGTGCTTTCAAAGGCTAACTAAAGAGTCACACTAGTCAAACTAACAAGCTCTCACAACTAGCTACACTAAAAAGCTTGACAACTAGTTTGCGGTAACGTAAAGAGAGAGAGCAAGATAGTTATACCGTCGTGTCGAGTAATGAACCAATCAATCACAAGAATCAATATCAATGAAGACCAATCACCTCGAAATCAAATGATGACACAATGATTTTTTACCGAGGTTCACTTGCTTGTCGACAAGCTAGTCCTCGTTGTGCCGATTCACTCACTTGGAGGTTCACGCGCTAATTGGCATCACACGCCAAACCCTCAATAGGGTCCCGTACAACCAACATAAGATGCGGATCACACAAGCCACGAGCAATTCACTAGAGTACCTTTTGGCTCTCCGCCGGGGAAAGGTCAAGAACCCCTCATAATCACCACGATCGGAGCCGGAGATAATCACCAACCTCCGCTCGACGATCCTCGCTGCTCCAAGCCATCTAGGTGGCGGCAACCACCAAGACTAACAAAGCGAATCCCACAGCGAAACACGAACACCAAGTGCCTCTAGATGCAAACACTTAAGCAATGTACTTGGATTCACTCCCAATCTCACAAAGATGATGAATCTATGATGGAGATGAGTGGGAGGGCTTTGGCTAAGCTCACAAGGTTGCTATGTCAATGCAAAATGGCCAAGAGAATGAGTTTGAGCCGGTCATGGGGCTTAAATAGAAGTCCCCACGAAATAGAGCCGTTGCACCCCTTCACTGGGCACTGCTCGAGGTGACCGAACGCTCCGGTCAGATCGACCGGATGCACCCTGCCAGCGTCCAGTCAACGGATGGCTGCCATGTCATCCATCTCTTCAAATACTGAGCGCCCGATCCCAACGATCAAGTGATGACCGGACGCGCTGCTTGAAAGTGACCGGACGTAGGATCCCAGCGTCCGGTCGTTTCCAGTAAGGTTCCAATCATGAAAATTCAAGACCGGACGCGTCCGGTCATGCCCGACCGGACTCACCCAGCGTCCAGTCACTCAACGTCTCCTCTATACGCCGCCACGACAGCTGGACCGGATGCACCCCTCCAGCGTCCAGTCAAGAAGTGACCCAGCGTCCGGTCGAAGACCGATGCCAGCGTCTTCACTGCTTCTACTGACCGGACGCGCCGGTCCTACCGAGACCAGCGTCCGGTCACTTTATGAAACTCTGTCTTTTCTCTACAGGGCACCGGTGGCACCGTCAGACTGTTCCCACTCTACAGACGGACACCCCGCCGGTGAAGTTTTGAACCCTTGCTCAAATGTGCCAACCACCAAGTGTATCACCTTGTGCACATGTGTTAACATATTTTCACAAACATTTTCAAGGGTGTTAGCACTCCACTAGATCCTAAATGTATATGCAATGAGTTAGAGCATCTAGTGGCACTTTGATAACCGCATTTCGATACGAGTTTCACCCCTCTTAATAGTACGGCTATCGAACCTAAATGTGATCATACTCGCTAAG